GACTCTCTGTGCTTCCTGAACTTGTATGACTTTTTTCCTTCACGAGGTTATGAAAGTTTTCAGCCGTTATTTCTTCAGACAGGATCCCTTGCTCATTCTCTTCTCCTTCTGACACTCTTATGATGAGGATGTTGTAACATTTAATGTTGTTCCAGAGATCCCTTAGATTTTCCCCACTTTTTAAAAATACTCATTTCTTTTTGATGCTCTTCTTGGGTGCTTACTGTTATCTTGTCCTCTAAATCACTCATTTGATCTTCTACTTCATCTAAACTGTTCTTGATTCCTTCTAGTGTATTTTTCATCACAGATACCGTATTCTTCACTTATGACTTTTTTTACGGTTTTTATGTCCTTTTCAATGCTTACTGTCTCTTTAAGTTCTCACTGAGATCATCCATTCTTCCCATAAGGTCTTTGAGCGTCCTTATAAACATTGTTTTAAACTCTGCATCTGGTATTTTGGTTGCTTCCATTTCATTAATTCTCTTCCAGGGATTTCTCCTGTTCTTTCATTTGGGGCATATTTCTTTGTCTCCCCATTTTCTCCCTGTGTATTAGGCAGATTTGCTATGACTCCCAAACTTGTTATGATGGCTTTATGATGAAGGTGTCTTGCTGGGCTCAGTGGCACAGTCTTCCAAATAGCCTTAGCTCAGTGCCCCAGCAATGTTTCTTGTGAGTTATGTATACCCTCCTATTGTAGTTTAGTCTTGAATGCTGTTGGCCCTTTCCTGAGTAGAGTTAACTCTTCAGGCTGGCTGACTATAAAAGAAAAAACCTCGATCACCATTATGAGATGCTGTGCAGGGGCTGCCCCTCAAGGCACAATTGTTCCCAGCAGGGTCTAGTGACTACAGGAATCCTCCTTTCAGCTTGCCACTTATGTGGCTAGTTGGATCGAGCTCCAGTGTGATCTGAAGCCCACCACTGGTTGTGCTGGTTCTGGACCCACCTAGGTCGAGTCCAGGTACAGATATTGTGATGTCAGATGTTGCATGTAACCAGCCTTGAGCTACCTATCAGGAGCTATCATGCTGTTCACTGTTTGTCACTGTGTCTACTGGGCCCTTATGTGCATTTTAACCAATCCTAGGGTATTCACCAGTCAACTTGAAAGACATGTTTTCCATGGCAGTATCAATAACTCCTATAGAACATATTTCATAAGGGAAAATGGTAAAATTACTATCTTACCTTAAAGTATTTATGGGGTTTTCATTCATGCTACATTTATTCCCTACCAGTATAGATAATCCAAAATTAATAAATGTTTTCTCATTAGATTTCAAAATATTTGCTCCCTACCACAATGAGGACAGTTGTAATTTTTTTCTGTTTCTACAAATTATAAATAATTGATAATAAGAATAAAAAAAGAGATAAAAGTATGAAACTAAAATTTAAAATTAAAAATCACCTGAATTCCATCACACTGATATAACCACCACCACATTGAAAATAATTCAATTTAACTCTCTATGCACACTTTCACATAAACACATACTTTATGGAATGGAATATCATGAATGTTTTTTATTGGGAACTTTTTTATAATAAGTGTTTTCTCATTTTTCCCCCTTATCTCTTAAATAACCAATGACAACAATCAGATGTACATTCTTTCAAATCTTTTTTCTGGACTCTGCATCAAACATAAATATACATACATACATAAACATATGAGTGAGGGAGGGAGGGTCATTAATTAGGTAGAATATTATTTCAGATGCTTCTCTGCATCTTGCTTTCCTCATTTTACAGTAGAAATCCCTCCAAGTCAACTGGTCTGATTCCAGTTCATTTTGTTTAAATGACTGACAATATTCTGAGAAAAAATGTATTCTAACATACATAGGTGTTCTTTTGTTTTCCTGAGCCAGAACTACCCAGCTTAGTCACTCTCAGATTCCTGACCCTCAGTAACTGTGTGAAATAATAAATGCTTGTTTTTAACTGCACAGTTTTGGGGTAATTGGTTACACAGCAAGAGATGACTTATACAGCATCCAAGGCCAAAAGAAACATTAATAGTTCAGTATATTAAGTAATTAGGTCCAAACAATTTAATATGTATTTATGACCGTACAATTTAATTTTGCCATTTGAAAAAAATAAACATATATTAAAAGAAAAATATTTGTATTTCTACCTACCCAACTCATACCCCAACATGAGCTATACAGGGAGGTATTTAGGATTTATTCACTCTGAGGTACCATTCTCACAACATGTTATATACATTCTAGTACCCAGGCATATATGTAAGTCCTTTCTTGTTCTGGGCAAAAAAAGAAGTAGCCAAGAGGGGTTGAGTTTGATTTCCATCCTTTTCTAGATAACCTGTACTATTAACTCTCTTATCTGCTTAAGCTGCATATATTAAACATAATTAAAATTTCTTACTGACAGAGTAATGCACTATAAGCATCAAACAGTTCATCCTAATAGCAGTGATACATACCTTAGATCACTGCAGAAAGTTTACTAGATGACATTAACCTAGAGGCTACTAAAATACAGAATATTATTTATCCTTACACAAACAACCCCCTAAATATTATATTTTTGTTCTTCTATTTTTTTACTTAGATTTTGGTCTTCTTCCTCATGACACTTGGTTAGGTGTCAGCTTGCTGTTAATGTGCCTTTTACAGCCATGCCCCCCATGCACAAAGTTGCTTCCAGTTGCTGAAACCTGAAGAAGTAATTAACCATATAGAACAACATTGTATTCAAAGTATTAATAGATTCTAGAAAAGGCCCTCAAGACCTAAAATTTCATCACAATGATTTTGATTTTTCAGAGTCCTCTTATCCTCTCTTTCTAACTCTCAAACCTGTTCAAGTTATGCTAAATTAATTGTTAGTTACAGTATAGTTGCTCTTTATTATTTATGGATTCCACATTTGTCATTTTGCCTACACACTAAAATTTATTTTAATCACCAAAATCAATACACACAGCACTTTCACAGTTATTCCCAGATACACACAGAACAGCAAAAAATTTTCAGTCTCCTGATGCACACTCTCCCAGCTGAGGTTAAACATGGAATGCTGTACCTTCTTGTTTTAGCTCTCATAATATAAACAAGAGTCCTTTTTGCCACCTATTTAGTGCCATATTTTTTTATATTTTGTGCTTTCTGTTAGTGATTTCACTAAGTTAGTGTCCAACTATAGAGCTGAAGTGCTATCTACTGTTTCTAAATACAAGAAGGCTGTGATGAGCCTTACAGAGAAAATATGTTAGATAAGTTAGATAAGCTCATTCAGGCATGAGTAATAGTGGTGTTGGCTATGACTTTAATGTTAATGAATAAGTAATATATATAAAATAAAGTGCTTTTAAACAGAAACATACATAAAGTAAGATTATGTGTTGATTGGCTGATGAAAATGCTGTTACGAGAGGCTCACAGGAGCCTAACTCTGTGAATTACAATGAAAGATCCACCAGGCTGGTAAAATCTAAAAATCAGCCATAGAAAAATGGGGAATACAATGCAAATGAACTTTCATACACTGCCAGTGAGAGTATAAATTATACAGCCATTTTGTAAAAACAGTTTTGCATTACCTGATAAAAGCTGAACATACATACACCCTGTGATCCAGTAATTCTACTCCAAGGTATAAAGCCTAAAGAAACTCTTCTATATGTGTACCAAGAGACATCATACAAGAATATTCATAGAACCCTGTTCATAATAGCAAAAAACTGTTGTTAAAAAAAAAAATCAAAAGCCTGTCAACTACGAAATGGATAAATATATTTTGGCATACTCACAGTGGAATACTAAACAGAGGTGAAAAGTGACAAACTCCAATTATACTCAGCAACATTAATAAATATCATAATGGTAAGCAAAAAAAAGCAAGTCACAAAATATTAATGAGTGATTCATTTTATATTTATGTAAAGTAAAAGCCAGAGCTTAAATCATATAGTATCTATAAACAAATACATATATACTACTGTAAGAAAATGTTTAACAAAATATAAAATAATAATTACTGCGATGGGGTTAGAGGACAAATATCAGATGAGGATCACAGGAAACTTCAAAGGGTTGTAGTCAAACTACTTTTCCAAAGATGATTGATGAGTAAATAAGTATTTGTTTTATTATTCTTTATATTGTATATATAAACTGTATATATTCTTTGGGTATATATTTTGCAATTAAACATTTAAACATGAGGTGATTCAAAAGGTATGCAAAGAGTAAAAAAAAATATATAAAAGAAAAAAATAAGTAAAGGGACTAGGTTTCCAAGAATTACACTAAAATTGAAAAATAAAGTAAGTTTTACTTATCCATCTGCTTTTTTACTTATCCACCTATCAGAATATTAATTTTTCCTCAAGGATATGGAAATAATAAGTGTTAATACTGAAAGTGTATAACTGAAAGATTACTTACCTTTAAATCAGATGACTTCAGACACCACTTGTTAAGGAAAAAATTTAGCTCACAGTCCTCATGTCATCTAAATATACTACTTTTGTAAAATAACAAACTATATTAAGTTCATTTTTCCTAAAAGGGAGTCACTCAGTCAAACTTATTAACATTTCTTTAAGCATATACAGAATGACTTGAGTTTCAGTTAAGTCACAACCTCTGCTCAGATCAGTGCCCCAATCAGTTACTGTTCAGAACAGTAACAGCATCTTAATCAGTTCTTTCTAGTTAACATTTTCCTCAAAAGGGATCACGAAATTTACTTTTGCGTCATTAGTAATCCAGGAAAAATATCAATTAGATTTTAAATGTTCCAGTAGAAAAAAATAAAAAGTCTGTTTCATCAAATCCTATACTATATTTGCCTATGAAATAAAAATGCTTCCAAAATTTAAAGAGGGGAAATAAAATTTTACCTCACAATTTTAAACACTTAATAAACTGTTAATAAATTCCATATAAATATAAATTTAGTGCATACTTAAATTTTGATTTCTAAATGACATCAGGTGCTACATATAACCTTACCTGGGGAGGATAATTGCTCTCTGAAGACCACCTTGAAGATTGGTCGTTTGGTTTATCCACTAAAATGTTCCTGAAATAAAGAAAAGAAAATGAGAGCAATTAATTAAAAGAATAAGTGAACATAAATATGTAGAGAGGTATAATCTATCAGATGCTAAAGTTATTATCAAGTTATATAATGTCTGTAACTTGAACAAGAAAATGAAACAGAATAAAAAACAGAAAACATCTAGTATGTATAAGATTTTTAAATATGGTAAATGTAGCATTTCAAACAATTGAGAAAACCAAGAAAAACATAGTTCTATTTCACACTAAGTGACAAAATGAATTACAGGTGCATTTAAGAATTTAAGGGAAAAAAACAAAGCAATAAAATACCTAATAATAAAACACTGTATATACATATTATATTAGATACAATTAAATTATTACACATTATATAACTGTTATACATTACATATTTTATAATATGTATGTAGTCAATCTTTGAATCAAGAAGGTCTTTTAAGCCCATCATCAAAAGCAGAACTGTAGGAGGGAGAAAGAAATACTGACACAAGGAATTTTGGAAGATGGTGATTTCACTGGAAACTGTTAACTAAAGACAAATCGATAACTGTATTTTATTTGGTAAAGTTGTCTTTCATAGGAATATAGGTTCTTCTGAAACACTTTACATGTATACTCAGGCTGGACAAGTAAGTTAACGGAAGGTGGATGGTGGGAGCCAACCATCTCATTTCGGAGTGAGAAGTTACAGAAAAGCAAGGGGTGGGAGGTTAGAATGAACCAGCGGTATTGGATTAGAGTCAAAGATATCAGTGCGAACTCATGTCTAGCATAATATACATATAAACAGATTTAAGTAATTATAGATCTGTGTGCATACACATATACATACATACACAAATAGTATTCCTACCTCTGCTCACTTAGAGGAACTAGAAGCAGTGACACCTCAGCAGCAATGAGTACACCCAACACCAGATCTTGGTTTCTATATACCATAGTCCAATTAAGTAAACAGAGATTGTTGGGGAAGTGGCCAATTCTAGGGTCAGGGCAGGGAATTCAAAAGATTAAGCCCAAACATCATATAGTATTTAAAAATAAAAGTAAAAGTTGGGGCTTGTCAAAGGGACACAGAGAAACCAACATGAAAGAATGCAAGAATAAATGGTCAAAGCTGAAATAACATAAACTACAAACTAAAGTAATACTGGATTTTAACCCAAAGTATAAAATAAATATCAATGAGTCCATACTGATATAAATAATTCCAGTCTAACAAGCAGAAAACAACCAACACAAATTGAAGAACATTCCACAAAATGCATGACCAGTAGTCCTAAAAACTCTCATTATAATGAAAAGAAAGGAAAAGACTAAAAAACTGTCACAGACCAGAGAAGAATAAGAAAACATGACAAGTAAAAGGAGTTGACCCTGGAACAATGTGAGTTTTAACTGCTCATGTCCACTTAGATGTGGATGTTTTTCAATATATAAGTGCAATACTGTGATTGCATTTTCTCATCCTCATGATTTTCTTAATAACATTTTCTTTTCTCTAGCTTACTCTATTGTAAGAATATAGCACATAAAACAAAGAACATAAAAAATGTGTCAATCAATAGTTCATGGTATTGGTAAGTTTAGGGGGGAGCATCAAAAGTTATGTGCAGATTTTTGACTACATGTGGTCAGTGCCCCAGTGAGTGTGTTGTTCAAGGGTCAATGGTATCTTGGCTGGGATCCTGAATCAGAAAGTGGACATTAGTGGGAAAACTAGTGAAATCCAAATAAAATGTGGAGTTTATGTAATGTTGGTATCTTAGTTGTGACGAACGTACCACAATAGTAACATACAAGTATAACATACAAAAGGACAAACTAGATAAGGGGCATACCTTGAAACTCTGTACTACCTTCATTACTTTTCTGTACAGCTAAGTCCACCCTTACCATCATTAATAAGTTCTGTGACTTTAAGTGAAACAATATAATAAAACCAAGTTTACTGTAAGCTAACCAATATAAATTAGTAAAATACCCTTGGCAATCTTATTAATGTTATAAGGAAATGATGTTATCTGAGGATCCACTGTAAATGTAACATCGTTCTCAAATGAAAAATATACTTTAAGAAGTTATATCTATATCTGGCACAGAGAAGGCACTTAATAAATATTAAATAGAAAGTGAATAATTTTTTTAAAGGCAGAACTGTATGGAAAAGGAAAGCAATATGTAAAAGAATTACTTTTACATACAAATGTCACAAAGGTAAAAATAAACACATAAAATGACTTTGAACAAAATTAAAAGGCAAACAACCAACCAGAAAAATAAAGATAATGTAAAACAAAAGTTAATTAAGATTTGAATATTTATTTAAAGAGCACTTAAACATAAACATATCATATGAAAATAAGCAACACTCAAACATTCAGAATCAATAATAACCAAAAATTGGATATTAAAACAAAGACACAGATTATCCCTAAAGCACTGGACTCACACCCTCCAAAAAACAAACAAACAAACAAACAAAAAAAAACACCATGTTTTGGCTAGAGCCAGTAAACGGTACCCTCATATTTTACTGGCAGGAATGCAAATTGATACAACTTTTCAGGAGAGAATTTTAACATAATACATATTAAAAACATTTCAAATGTGCATATCCTTTAAATAAAAATAATGATAACCATGACAATGCTAGCATGTAACATTTCTGAGCTTTTATTACTCCCAGACACTGTTCTAAGTGTTTCTATGTATAAACTATTATCTCCAATGTTCAGATTAAGAAACTGAAAGATAAATTATTAATAATTTGCCTAAACAGACACACCTAAGCAGTAAAAATTTGAACCTAAGACAACCTGATTCCAAGGTCAACACTCTTAATCACCACACTATACAGCCTGAGAACTATTCCACTTCTTGGAATGTAACCTAAAAATATAATCCAAGAGATGTAAATCAACCACATTCATCACAGGAAAATTTATAACAGTAAACTGTAAACAACCTAGTTGTCTAAAAATAAGGAATTCATTAAACAAATTATGACATACCTATGTTACTTAGAGAATACCATGTAATCATGATGTATTCTACAGCCTGACTTTAGTGTAGTTGGAAAATGTTCACTATGTAATTAAGTGACAGGAAAAAGTAGTTTACAGTACATACATGATGAAGCAAGCACTGTATGTAACAATAACATTCACGTATGGAGATAAAAGACAAAGAACATATACTGAAGTAGCTTTCAATGGTGAGATCAGAGTGACTTTTTTTGCCTTCTTTGTGCTTTTACATACTTACCAAATTTTCTAAAGAATGAATTATAAAACTGAATAAAGACAAGAATTCTGTATGAAAAGTTTGCAGCATGGTCAAAAGCTAAAGCTATAAAATTAGGATTTTCAAAAATTACTCTGATTTAAATGTTACAAAGCATGATAGAAAACCTTATGTATTATAACTGTGTAACCACAAAAATCAACAAAGTATAATAAAACTGGGCAGGGGAAATCGGATGACATGTAAGTGAGCCTCACCTTTCGCTGTTTCTAAGAATAATGTTTCTGAAATTGATAACAAGAGATTTAAGAGTATTACTTAAATTCAGAATTAAGCAAAATTAAAACAGAAGCATACTACATAACTTCTCAATTATTTGAGACAGAAATCAACAACAAAAGAACGTAGAGCAAAAAGCAGGAAATAAATTCTTTAAAAGTAGGAAACATTAAAAATAAAATTTAAAATAAAATGACAATATTAGCACCAAGCATCTCTTCAAGCCATACATATAAATGGCCTAAAATAATATAATAGGATTTCCTTTGGATTGGGTGAATAATAGAAACATCACTGTATACACATATAATAAAAGTGACTCATGAAATGTAAAAGATATATAAGGTAGATGCAAACTTTGTAAAATTTTGTAGGAGGAATTTAAAACAAAAAGTACTAACTGTGTGAAAAAAATAATTATCTAATAATAGAGTTCAAACCATGACAGCAATATAATTTGTGAGTCTTTAACAAAAACAAAAATAAAGCACTCTCCTGCAAGACATGAGAGACGCTAGTTTACGGCAATGACTATTTATCACCCATCATCACTACTGGTACAGCTTTTTCTTCGTTAATTCTAAGGACTAAGGAAGAGACATTAACCTCTCATACTACATATATCAATAACAATACCAGTTAACTATCTTTATATCTAAAGTGAGAAATATCCTATCCCAAACCTCTGCTGTGGAGCAATCACTGGCAGAGATGTTTTCCATACCTGTGACTTTCCCTTACAACTATCTCAATGTCAGCTAATCTAGGCTGGCTGGTGACCTACAGTAAGGCCGGTATGAAAATAAAATTATAAGACAAAAAATGTATATATAAACAAAACCAATGAAACAGAGAAAAGATATACAGAGTAAGAGTAAGAAATATAAGAAAAAGAATACAAGAAAATGAGAAGAATGTAACATGAGGAGAGGGGGTGGATGGAGACGGAAGAGGGTATGGAAAACATTAATGGTAATGGAAAAAATATAATAAAATAAAAAGAGAAAGAAATGTGATGTGTACAAGAAAATAAACCCCTAATGTTAACCACTTAAACATGGCAGACATAAAATAAAGAGACTTCAGGGAACAATCAAGAATAGAATTGATGGCTTATTAGTTCCAGTTAGCAGGAGGCTGCTTCTGGCAACCAAAAGAACGAGACCACAGCACCCTTTTAAGTCCTACATGACTAACTTTAACATTTCTTTTATTGCCTGGGGGGGGGGGGGGAGGGCAAATGCCAAGTAAAAAAAAGCTATAGAAAACACAATTCAGTATAGAAATTATAGGATTCAATAATAGATTAACCTACTAAGGTTAAGTTAAATATCTGCCATTTTAAAATATGTTTAAGCTCTGACAGGTGTGGCTCATTTGGTTGGGCACTGCCCCTCAGAGTGAAAGACTGCCAGTTCAATTCCCAGGCAGGACACATGCCTGGGTTTCGGGTTTGGTCACTGGCCCAGGTGC